CTCAGTTGCTTGGTCCCATGCTAGTCCCCTCCAAGTCCTTCCTAGCATGGCCACAGACATGCTCACCCAGGACTGTGGACGGCTAAGTGGGAATTCCAGGCCAGATCCCTCTGTGAAGATCTGGGGCAGGGTCCCCTCCCTCAATTCCAACCTCGGTGGTTCGTGGCGAGAGCCACCAAGTGCTCTTAGGTAACGTCCCTCTGCAAGCCCAGCGCTTCCATTCCCGGTCTCCTCACCCACCTGTGACACAAACCTTACTGCGTTGTTTACCTTGCTCAGGGTGCCTCCGTGGCCAGTGGTATTAACATGATCGCTGCCACGCTGTCTTCAGCCCCAGGTGAGCAGCTCTGAGCTCTCCACCTTCTTCCATAGTGCTGTCCCCGTCCGGCCCCCCACACCCAAAGCCTGACCCTCAGGAGGTACACTGGGTCCCCTCGAGGGGTGGCTCTTTCTAGTCTCAACTCCCATGTCTTGAAGGGCTGAAAGATGGCACAGAGGGCCTTCCTCCTCCTCAGTGTGTGAACCCCGAGTCCTGAGATCCCAGCCTCCTCCTCAGTGTGTGAACCCCAAGTCCTGAGCCCTCTTCCCCCTCTGTATGTGAACCCCAAGTCCTGAGCCCTCTTCCTCCTCCTCTCTGTGTGAACCCTGAGTCCTGAGACACCAACCTTCTCCTCTGTGTGAACTCCGAGTCCTGAGACCCCAGCCTCCTGAGTGTGAACCCTGAGTCCGGCTGAACCCTGAGTTCTGAGATCCCAGCCTCCTCCTCTGTGTGTGGGCCCCAAGACCTGAGCCCCCTTCCAGCCCACTAGCCTGCATCTCCCCTTTCCTCATCTGCTACCACTTCCTTGTCCTCTGAATGTTCTAGAGGGTCTGTGCATGTGCAAAGGCCCTGAGGTGGGGAGCACTTGGCTTCATGAGGCAGAGCCTAAGAGGTGCTCGCTGCATCCTGCCATTCTGTGAAGCACAGCCATGCAACCCCAGGCTGGCATTAGAAGGCTGACTCAGCCATGGTGTGAGGATGGGTGCAGAGCACAGCTGAGGTCCTGGGGGTGTGAGGCAAGGCCTGCCATGTGGAGGGCAGTGTGGGCATATGATAGCGCACAAATCCCAGATGAGGGCCAGCCATGCTGTGTGTGTGCATGCCTGCGTGTGGGTGTGCCTGTGTATGTGGGCCTGCCTGGGTGTGCACCTGTGTGCATGTATATCTGCATCTGTACACCTGTGTGCATGCCTGTGTGCACCTGTGTGCTTGCATGCTTATGCACCTGTGCGTGTGTGCCTACATGCATAGTACCTGTGCATGTGCACCTGTTTGTGCGTGTGCACCTGTGTGTCTGGTGCAAATGCACTTGTGCGTGTGCCCCTGTGCCCGCATGTATATGTACCTGTGTGCGTGCACCTGCGTGTGTGTGCCTGTGCACCTAGGTGTATATGTACCTGTGCATATGCACCTCTGTGTGCCTGTGTACGTGTGCACCGAATATGTGTGCCTGCATGCATCTGTGCACGTGTGCCGGTGCGTGTGCAACTGTGTGCGTTGTACCTGCACATGTGCTTATGTGCATGTGCACTGTATGTGTCCCTGTGCGTGTGTGCGTGTGCACCCACATGTGTTGCACTGCATGCGTGTACTTGCATGTGTGTGCACTGTATGTGCCTGTGTGCATGTGCACTCATGTGTGTTACGCCTGTGTGCGTGTGCACCTGTGTGTGTGTGCACTGCACTACCCTGCTTACTGTGGTCAGTGGTGCAAACACACCCCTCAGGGACCTGCTGGAGCCACACTCACCCATCACCTTCAGCCTCTCCAACCCAGGCGCTGTTTAGACAAATACAACATCCGCTTCCCTTCTAGTCAAAGCAGCAGACACACACACGCTTATCTTAATGTCTGACACGACTGACAGAACAACTTTTGTTTGGGTTACATTTTTTTCTGTTTGTCAATTTCACTCCAAAACCTGAATAGAAACACTCATAAAGTTCAACAACAAAAGAAGAGACGTCTCCATGTTTCAGCTTTGAAGCAGTGTGTGTTAAAAACAATGACACCATGAACAATACCACCAAACTTCGACTATCTGCAACTTCAAAAATACACAGCAGAGGCACAGAACCCCCTCCCGCTTACAGAGCGAGACACGGGGGTCCAGGGCGGGCGATGAGCCAAGCACCACCTTGTGTTCCTTAGTCAGCTTCACGGCTTAGTAGTTCCCAAAGAGCCGGGCCTGGAGGCCTGCAGCCATGCAGGGAACACACATTTAAAGCTCTTTTGACGACCCTCGGTACCTTCAAGCGAACGTCACGGTGAGGGTAGGCTTAAAGAGCGATAGGGCACCGCATGGGGGGCTCACAGAGCAGTCTGGGCAGAGTCGGACAGTCTGGCTGCTGAAGTGAGCCGGCTGGGGCTGAGACACAGACATCTGGCACTGGAGAGAAGCCAGTGGGGTGTGGGGTGCCTGTCCAGACAGGACTGAGCATGGCTAGCCCTGTGGGCCATTCGTCTTCCCCCAAGATACACGGAATGCCAGTCTTCAGTCCTACCACGGTGGAAGCTGCTGGAAAAACAGGACTGGCCGTGCCGGCCGTGGACTGACAAAGACGCAGGCCCGCAGTTTCCTCTGAGGTTATGATGGCCAGAGAGGAGGGGAGGAGGGAGGGAACGCCCGGCAGTCTGCTGCCGGTCCTCAGAGCTGGGAGTGTGCAGGCAGGTGTCTCTGCAGAGACCACGTCCACCTGCTGCTTGCCCGAGGTCAGCCTGGGAAGGGCTGTGCGGGCTGCCGGGACCTAGTCCTACAGCACCAGCATCAAGGACACACTCCTGGGGAAAGACTACATCCATCCTTGCACACGAGAACCACACGTGTGTAGGAAGAGCCGCGTTCACTGCAGGGCAGCCGGCATGCAATGCATCCATTCAGGAGCGCCTATTTTCAGGAATGTGTGTACTCAGAAGCAAACAAACTGAATTGCAAGGAGGCTGCAATTCAGTGTAGAAGCCTGGGTAAAGAACTGAGATCTATCCCTGATTCTATGTTTGTAATATCTCAAATTGGTTTTTTTTTTTTTTGGTCAGTCGTGGGTTTTGAACTCTGGGCCTGGGCGCTGTCCCTTAGCTCTTCAGCTCAAGGCGAGCGCTCTACCACTTGAGCCATAGAGCCACTTCTGGTTTTCTGAGTGGTTTATTGGAGAGAAGAGTCCCACAGACTTTCATGCCTGGACTGGCTTTGAACCGTGATCCTCAGCTCTCAGCCTCCCCAGAAGCTAGGATTACAGGTGTGAGCCACCGGTGCCAAGCTCTTTGCAGACAGCAGAGAGGGGCAGGGGAGACGGTGGAACTCACAGACTCCCATCACAAATGTGCCTGCCCGTGCCCCTCCACGTCGGGGTGCTCATCATGCTTCACCTAGCTGGCGGTAGGAGCCCAGGCAAAGGCAGGACAGGACCACAAATTCCTCAAGTGCAAAAATGGCTTCCAATTCCCACAGTGCAGAGATCAGGACCCAATCCTCTTTTCAGAGGCAGGAGCAGGATGAATCTGTGTGGGGAAACCAGGCAGCCAAGGGCTGGAACATCCTTTCCCCATGGAGTCGGGGTTCACAGGGCCCTCCTCCAGCCCCCCTGAATGGAGGAAGGTGTCCGTACACCCCCCACCTCTCTCCCGAGACAGAGGATGGTGAACAAGGGTGGGTCCTCAACTTCTTGACAGCAGTACCTGCCTTTCTACTTGGAGAGAAATAGATAAGAGAATGCCCGTGGCTTGGCGAACAGCCGGCCTAGGAAATATGTTACACACTGGAGACTGAGGACCAGTGTCACTTCCGGTTCCCCCAGGAAGGACGGATGCCTGAGGCCACCAAAGCCACACCATCCAGTAAGCACAGGTGCTCTTTGTTCCAGAGCACCTCCCCACAGAGAAAGTGAAGCAGAGGCAGTGGGGACTCAAACACAGAACTTCAAGTTTACACTGGGAGAAAAAAAAGTTGAAATCTCAACTAACAATCCACCTGCTACACAGAAATACTTAAAAACATTCAATATTCTAAAAAAGTATTTAAAAAATGCCTTCTCAACGAGGTAGAGAAGAGAGAGAGAAGACAGGAGAAAGAAAGATGTAGTCAGGCTGGAGATCTTTGTGTCTCCTACTCAACCCCAGGGTGCTTTTAATTTCTTACTTTATTTTTTTTAGCACTTTTATTAGCACCAATCTGTTGTGCGAAGGGGTTTGATTTAGACAAGTTCTGTATATGCAAACAACACACCTTGATCGGATTCACCTCTCCATCCATCCATCCTCCTCCTCCTCCCCTTCCCAAAGAAGCTTCATGTGTACACACTTCCTCTTGTTCACTCTCCGGTCCTCTCGGTTACTCTCTCCACCCACCCTCCCCTCCACCAGATGTCTGGTTAGGACTCGTGGCATCTTCCTTTTCTCAGTGTGCCAGTTGCTGGGGGCGGGGGTCACCTGCCACTTCACACAGCACCATAACCACATGGACTCTCCCCGTCCTCACCACACAGTGAGCTTTTGACAGAACATGCTGGCAAAGTGTCACGCATATAATGCCCAAGCCAGGAATTTACAAAATGAAAGCAAACTCCAGCTTGCACCACAACAGCAAGATGGGCAGAGAACCAACCCGTTAGTTTGGTTTGGGAGAACATTTATAGCTGCATTTTACAGGTAAGATGAAAGTGATTATTCTTTTATTTAGAAGAGGGACAAAAGTGCACAAAAGGGCAATATAAATATCCATCAACGCATCCTCCCCAAGAAAGTCCCAGGAACTAACTCCTGCAGGAGTGACCTTTTCTCTTTCAATTACCCCTGCCATGAAGCATCCATTCTTCTCCTCGCTGCTAGGTGGCAGTAGGGCATGGGGGAGAGATTGTCCCAGGCTCAGAGCATGCGAGGACTCACAGCTCACCAAGGAAGATGGCTCAGGGAGATAAATTTAGATAAGCTCAGGACAGAGAAACAGCAAAGGGCCATACTCACCGGTTCCACGTTATAGGAGAAGAGAGCATATTCCCTGTCTGGAGAGATTTCGTATCTGATGGCTTTTAAGGATTGCTGAAGGGAAGAAGAAAAGGAAACAGAGAATGTTAATGCATGGTGTACCACAATCCAGAGCCCAGTACTCAAACCACCACAAGTTTAGTAACCAGCCAATTTTTGACGTTTATTCTGTGGCTATGTCCTTTCTTTAGAGCTAAACATCATTTGGCCAGTTGATCCTTTTTTCAAACAAGACAGTCCCAGTGGCATCTGCTGAGACACCTCAGTAGAAATGGGAATGAAAGACGAACGTTTTCCCTAAGTCTGGGACCACATGTGGTCTCCCTCCCTACTGGAAGGGCTGTCTCGAGAGCAGGAGCCCATCTTACACATCCCTTTGCAGCTTGCTTCTCCCGCCAGCCATCAGCCCCTTCCCTCCAGGCCAGTCACAGAGGGCTCTATCACTTTTCTGCCACATTTCTGACAGTCCCCGGCCATTGTGGCACAGAGTTCAGACTCAGAATTAGGAAACCCGATGGCTGACAACCAGGGTGTGGATGTTGACCAACATTCAGCCCCTGGCTGTGGAGGAACAGCTGGTGACAGTATCAGGGATGTGTGGGCCAACAGTCTCTCATGAGGATGCCGGCTCCAACCTGACCATCCAGGGTCTACAACCCCCCGCGGGTGTGTGAGCCAGTTCCTGTGACTGAGGATTTACTTTCGGTGCCTGCATGCTGTATATAAGCATGGGGTGCTCCATTAAACTTTGTCTATACCCGCATGGAATGGTCCACTTTCTGCCTACCAGACGCCATTCCCACATCTTGCTGAGGAATCAGCAACAGCCCGCTCCTAAATTCATGCTCACAGGGACTTTTTTGAACTCTGGGCGAGTGCTGTCCGTCAGCTCTTCAGCTCAAGGTGAACGCTCTGCCACTTGAGCACAGTGCCACTTCCAGTTTTCTGGTAGTTTATTGATGGTAAGAGCCTCATGGACTTTCCTGCCTGGGCTGGTTTTGACCCTCAATCCTCAGATCTCAGTCTCTTGAGTAGCAAGGATGACAGGCGTGAGCCACTGGTGCCTGGCTCACAGGGACATTTAATCTTACTTCCCATGGTGTAGTTGATGTAGATTTTATCTTTAGAACTGTCCAGCTGTGTCCCCTTAAGAATATTTATATTATTACTAATATTATCAATATTGTTATTATTATATTATTGCCAGGCCTTGCTTGCTCAGCTGGTGCTCTAACAATTGAACAAAGCCTCCACTCCAGCTTTTTCCTGGTTATTTTTGAGATGGAGTGTCTAAGGCTTTTCTGCCCAGGCTGGCTCTGAATTACAATCCTCTAGATCTCACCCTCCTGAGTAGTTAGGATTACAGGCGTGAGCCATTGGCTCACCGCTTCAGGGTTTTTTCTATACTGAGATTGTTCTCCTCTTTCCTAAACTCCCTGGTGGGAGTTCAGCCCATCACTGGGCCAGAGCCACTCGGTGATTGGTTACCTGCATTGCAAATATTGTCCACTGGAATGTGTACCGACTTTTCCTTTTTTTTTTTTTGGGTCCGGTCATGGGGCCTGAACTCTGGGCCTGGGCGCTGTCCCTCAGCTCTTCAGCTCAAGGCTAGCACTCTACCACTTGAGCCACAGCGCCACTTCCAGCTTTTTTCTTTTTGCTTATGTGGTGTTGAGGAATCAAACCCAGGGCCTCAAGCATGCAAGGCAAGTGCTCTACCACTGAGCCACCTTTTATGTTTAAAATCTTACACTTTTTATTGTAAGTTAAATTTAGTTGTTTTTGTATTTTTTGCATTTCTTATTTTGATCACTTTTTTGTGCTAAAGGAAATGACAGTTTAAAAAAATACTGAAGCCTTTAATACAAAGAGAACTTCATTTTGTTATAATTAGGTTTTATTCCCGTGAACTTAGGGCCCTGTGGTCATGCTTGGCTTTTTCTTTGCCACTTGAGACATACCTCAACTTCCGGCTTTTTGCTGGCTAGTTCGATATAAGAGTCTCTCAGACTTGTAAGCTTGGGCTGGCTTCAAACAGAGATTCTCAGATTTCAACCCTCTGAGTAGCTGGGATTGCAGGTGTGAGTCACCAGCACCTGGCAGGTGTCTATTCTTATATATGACAAGATCATTTCATCAAATATTCAATGCTATAGACTTTTTAGAGGAGTTCTAATTAGGATTATATTAAAATTTGATATTAATTTTCAGAGAACATCTCTAATATTGTCTTTTTTTTTTTTGTCAGTTATGGGGTTTGAACTCTGGGCCTGGACGCTGTCCCTCAGCTCTTCAGCTCAAGGCTAGTGCTCTACCACTTGAGCCACAGTGCCACTTCTGGTTTTTTGGTAGTTAATTGGAGATAAGAGTCTCCTGGACTTTCCTTGCCTGGGCTGGCTTTGAACCATGATCCTCAGATCTCAGCCTACTGAGTAGGTAGGATTACAGGCGTGAGCCACTGGCGCCTGGCCTCTAATATTGTCTTCTTATCTAAGACTTACATTTTACCATAAAAAACTTCAAATCCTTACAAAGACCCTGTAGTTTATTAATCACAGAAAAAGCTGAAAGTAGCTCAAGTGGTAGAGTACTAGCCTGGAGCAAAATGGAGTTCAGGGACAGGGCCTAGGCCCAGAGTTTGAGCCCCAGGACTGGCAAAAAAAAATCAAATTATTTGTCTACTGATTATAAAAATCAAAGTGGGTATCAATGAGGGAAACAAAAGTGCTTTTTCCTTGAATGTTAATTTACTGATTAAATGAAGTGATCGGCACGGTCCGCAGTTACACCAGCAGAGGCACAAGGTGCACAGAAGTGAGCACCGCAGCACAGCAGTTATTCTGCCTTCCACGTAACTCCAGGAGACCTCTACAGCCTTCAAGTCCTCATGACTGGAACAAGTCTAATCTCTGAACCCTGAGAGGGAAGATTAACACTACTGAGTAAACGGCATTGAAATAGCAATTATGGAAATCACTATGTTGGAAAAATAACACATAAAATTCCAACGCCCAAGAGGACACGCTATTAGCTGAATGCTCCTTTCTTGGATTTTCCAGCATTCACAGGTGAGGCTTACAGCTGTCGACAGAAGTATAAGTATGACTCTGTATTCAATCTTCATTTAATATAAAAACATAAATATCTTTCAAGCAACTGAAGCCTCATAGCTGTTATTTTAATGGCTATGTTATACTTCAGTTTTCCCATTTTCTTACTTGTCTTGTTTTAGGTATTTCTGCTATCATGAACAATGCATCAGCACTGTGCCTTTTATATGTTGTTTTTTTTTAACTTGTGAAAAGAATTCCCCCGGGTGACTAAAAAATGGGTAAATATTTTCATTACTCTTGAAATGCATTGCCAAGCAGCTTCCTCAACACGAGGCACAACTTGAATGAAACGGGAGATACATCGATCTCTTCTTTGTCAATAGAAAAGGATGTGCAAGGTGTGAGATCCATCTCAATCCAGCGAGTTACTGTGGAATAGCCTCGCTAGAGCAGGAGCAAGGCAAGCGATGGAGCGACGGAGCCCACCCCATGCGAGGGATGGGGCGACGGAGCCCACCCCACATGAGGGATGGAGCGACGGAGCCCACCCCACGCGAGGGATGGAGCGACGGAGCCCACCCCACACGAGGGATGGAGTGATAGAGCCTACCCCATGTGAGGGATGGAGCGACGGAGCCCACCCCACAAGAGGGATGGAGCGACGGACCCCACCCCCACATGAGGGATGGAGCGACGGAGCCCACCCCACGCGAGGGATGGAGCGACGGAGCCCACCCCACATGAGGGATGGAGCGACGGAGCCCACCCCATGCGAGGGATGGAGCGATGGAGCCCACCCCACATGAGGGATGGAGCGGCGGAGCCCACCCTACATGAGGGATGGAGCGATGGAGCCCACCCCACACGAGGGATGGAGTGATAGAGCCCACCCCACATGAGGGATGGAGCGACGGAGCCCACCCCACATGAGGGATGGAGCGACGGAGCCCACCCCACATGAGGGATGGAGCGATGGAGCCCACCCCACACGAGGGATGGAGTGATAGAGCCCACCCCACACGAGGGATGGAGCGACGGAGCCCACCCCACATGAGGGATGGAGCGACGGAGCCCACCCCATGCGAGGGATGGAGCAACGGAGCCCACCCCACATGAGGGATGGAGCGACGGAGCCCACCCCACATGAGGGATGGAGCGACGGAGCCCACCCCACATGAGGGATGGAGTGATGGAGCCCACCCCACATGAGGGATGGAGTGATGGAGCCCACCCCACACAAGGGATGGAGTGATAGAGCCTACCCCATGGGAGGGATGGAGCGACGGAGCCCACCCCACATAAGCGATAGAGCCATGGAGCCCACCCCATAAGTGGTGGAGCCACAGAGCCCACCCCATGTAAGTGGCACTGACGTCACCATTCCCTTGGCAAGCATTAGTGGTTTCCTCGTCTAAGAAACAAACACACACCGCACAGTCTCTCTCAGGTTTATACATCTCAGTTTCACACAAAGGCTGAAGAAAGGCCTGGTCTCCTGACAAGTGTGTTTTGGAATGAGTTTGCAGGAATTCCAGGACCCACGGAATCTACTCAGTTAAATTGACCAAACTGGATGAAATCCACTTTAAGTGCACTTCTACTAGAAAGGCAGGGAACTTTCTCTGGGATGGAGGGGGAGGGCAATGTCTCTGAGCGTTTTTGCTCAAGGATAGCACTCTACCACTTGAGCCACACCTCTGTGTCTGGCTTTTTGGTGGTTAATCAGAGATAAGAGTCTCACAGACTTTCCTGCCCAGGCTGGCTTTGAATCGTGATTCTCAGATCTCAGCCTGTTGAGCAGCTAGGATGGCAGGCATGAGCTCGTACTGGGCTGATTTTTTATTGAATGTGAGAAGTCTGAGCGTGCCTCAGACTGGAAAACAGTTGTGATCAAGCCTTGTGAGGGGTAAGATCTGGGCTTTTGCCACTCCTGTCTGGACTTGGGGGTTGCCCAGGGTGGGCGCTCGGCCTCGGCTGCCTGGATGACGAGGTTCTCCCTGCAGCATGGTGTGCTTCATTCCCATGCTCACGTGGCCTCCTCTGGCCTCGCTTCCTGCTCAGCGCCCTGCAGGCCCAGCCCCACACTTTGAGCCTGCCCTGCTGGGGCTTGCTGTCCTCTAGGCAGAACACAATCCCCTCATTGTCTTTCCAGGCAGCACCTGTGGCTGAGCAGTGCAGAGCTCTAGCTAGGGACTGACATTCAAGGTCAGGACCCTGGTGCTACTGGTCCCCTCCTCCTCTGCTACCCACCCACAGTGGAACACCTCCCAGGTGGGGGACAAGAAGCAGCAGCAGAGCTGGCTGGATGTTCTTCCATGAGGACCTCCTGGACCCTGGGCAGTATGCGTGGTTGAATTCACGTCCCATGGAAATCTGAATGAGCTCTTCAAAATTTCCACAAGAATCGTGTTCAACAAGACATTTTAGATTGCTTCTTATGAATTAATAATGACAGAGGACACTCGGTACAATATTGTTGGGGCTCAGGCGTGGAGAGCCCCAAACAGGCTACATTGGGCCCCAGACAAGTCCCTGGGACAGAGGAAGGCTGGGTGGAGTTAACTGTGTGAGTTACACTCGTCCTGAGGGAGGCGGAATGTCTCACAGCATCCTAGGGGGTAGGGCACTGTCCCGGGGTGCTGTCCTGGGCCCACTCCTGTTACACAAACACTGCAAAACACACTTCACATGTCTCCCCACCTTGCCCTGGGCGGGGCACAGAAGCCCCGGGCTTCCTGTTGTGTGCAGACTCGGAATGTGAGCACCATGCAGAAACAGCCACGTTTTCCCTCACACGCGTGTGCCTTTTGCCAGTTCATTACCACTGACTCGAACCCTGAACTTTCATAGGGGAAGGGCAATGTCCCTGGAGCCTGCCACCAAACACAATGCTCAGCACGCTGCAAACCTCCCACTCTAGGAAGCAACACGCAGGGCACAAACTCCAGAAACTGCCACGCTGCAGGCTGACACCACCCAAACGAACTCTGATGCTGCGAGCCCCCCTTCTCCCCCCCCTCACCTCACCACTCGCTCAATCCGCTCACACCAGCCAGATGCCCCCCAGGGCACCAACAGCGTGTGCCGCCGGGGCGATGAGCTTGCACCAGGGCAGGAAGGACAGAAGCGTCGTGCATGAGGACTCTGGCGCAGAGGAATTTAAACGTGGAGCCCTGCACTCTGAGACACGCTGCAGGCCTCCAACTGCCTTCTTTAGTTTTATTTTCTCCATTGTTGTTGTAAGGTGAAGTACATAGTGAGCTACAGTTCCATTCGCTAGGTAATGAGTGCGTTTTCTCTTTGGACAATGCCAGCCCTCACTCTCTCCCCGTCATTCATTTCTTTTGTTGAAGTCTCATTCGGGAGCATTTAAATGTAGCTCTGAGGGAAGAATTGTGAGTTGATGGGGCTGTGTGCATCATTTACCTAATAACGGTTGTAATGTGCGGGCAGGAGTGACATTTTAAGGTGAAAGAGACTGCAGCATGCAGCACAAGCCAGCTAGTCCACAGCCATCAGGGCTTTCCTTACCTGCAGCCGGCTGGGAGGGGCCTTAGGAGTCCACTAAACAACTTCAGTTAACATCCACCATCACAAGCTACTGACCTAGGAACTGGAGGTGGCGCCCGTCCTGGGGCCTCAGCACCCAGCACCGCACTGCACACTCCAGGAATCATGGCGGCCCCTCACCCACAGGCAGGACATCTTGTCCTGCATCGTTATTGTTTCCTTCTTTTCTTTTTCATTTTTGTTGGTCATGGGGCCTGAACTCTGGGCCTGGGCACTGTCCCTCAGCTCTTCAGCTCAAGGCTAGGGCTCTACCCCGTGAGCCACAGCGCCACTTCCGGCTTTTTCTGTGTATGTGGTGCTGAAGAATCGAACCCAGGGCTTCATGCATGCTAGGCAAGCACTCTACCACTGAGCCACCTTCCCAGTCCTGCCTGGGTCTTCTTTTGCAGAGTACAAATTCATTCAGGGAATGGCACCCTCGCCCGGCCACGCAGGCCTCATCCTCAGAGGCCTCATGAAGGAGAGGCTCCGCGTGATGATGAATGTGAGTGAAACTTTTTTTTTTAACGGTATCTTATTCAGGCACTAATGACTCATGCCTCTAATTCTAGTGAGTCAGAAGGCTGAGAGTTGAGGACCGCAGCTCAAAGCTGGTCCAGGCAGGGAAGTCCATGAAACTCTTATTGCCCATTAAGCAGCAAAAAGAGAGGAGAGGAGCCATGGCTCACGTCGCAGAGTACCAGGCTTGAGTGAGAAAGCTAAAGAACAGTGCCCAGGCCCAGGCCCGGGCCTCAATATTGGCACTCACAATAAAAAAGAAAGAAAGAATAGGTATATTTATAGTAAAAAGAAATCACAACACATGAATGGCGAGTTCAGTAGGCTTTCTGTGGGTGCTGGAAGGGGTGGTACAGAGACCCAGTCCCAGCGGGAGGAATGTGGAACCCCACGAAATTCACTCACCAGCCCTCATCTGTAACACGAGGGGCTGACTAATGCTTCCCCAGTCTCCTCTAATCCTGATCCCACGACTCCGTGTCTACTCTGCGCCTCATTCCTGTGTTATGAGTTATTCTCACTCAACATCCCTGACTGTTTTCAGTTCTTGCCTTTTATTTAGATGGAGCTTTGTTCTCTTCCCGTGAATTCCCTGATGTATCAGACAAGAAAGTGATCAACATCTTAGAGCTTGAGATTTATTTCTCTTACCACCAGGTATGGCTAGACTGTAAGCAAAGAAACAAAGTTAATTCCTCTTTAATTGGGTTTTGGTACATAACTCCAGTCTTCAGATATTTTTAATATTGTTATACACAAAGCCCAAATCATAATGTCACTTAAGTCTCAGAGAAAACATGTTTTCCCCGAGGATAAGCCTGTAGCACTCAGATCGACTCAGGGACTTATTCTGAAGCACAAACATCACTTCATATCATTAGTAGAGTCACAGCACCTATGATGATATTGCCTGTGTTTATTTCAAGAGTGACTGAGCAAGAGTTCTTTCAAGTACTATGCAGGCATTATTGTAATTGTTCGCTAATGGTGTAATGCCTTAAGACTTTATCTTTCAATTATAATGACATGCAACACTTGTTCCCGACACCTGCAGAGAGTTCTGGGACGGCGGCACAAAGCGAGCGTTCATCTTATTGAATTAGCGTGATTTCAATCGCACACTATCCACCCTCAGTTCTCAGCCTGTGGAGCCCAGCGTATTGCTTCTCCTTGGCTATACTACAAGTTGAAACCTGACGTCATTTTCTGCTTTATTGACTTGCAGGAGTCAAGCCTGAAATTATCCTGGTTAGACAGAGTACTTACGATTCTTTTGCCTTCTATTAGCACTGTAGAGTTATTTGTTTCAACGTTCCTCAGTATCACAGTTCCCGTCCGTTCTCTGTAGATGAATTCTTTATCTACAAAAGAGGAAATAAAAAGAAACATGAGTCATCTGTTTCTGATGGACACTTGTATGAAATGAATCAACTCATGCTGAAAAAAGGACACAGAGCTTTTTCATCAAAGAGTCCTTTAAACGTGGTGAATGCATCCAGTGCGGATTAATGTCATGTCCTACGAAGCTTGTCTCTGGGCCTCTCCTGCTCCCCAGGGGCAGGGTGCCCAGAAGGTGCACACGTAGAAACTTTGGGATGTGGGAGACTTTCTGGGGAAGGACACGCAGCGTGGACACACAGGACAGAAGGAGGCTGACACCACGGGCTGAGAGGAGCTGTACTAAGGAACAGTCCCCTCCATTTGAGACTGGAGGGAGCCTACAGATGACCCAATGCATGGTGCCTACCTTCATGCCCTACAGAGCCAGCCTCCATTTTGCCTGCAGACAGCTCTGTGCTGTTCTCAGAGAATACCGCAGCCCTTGCTCTTGAATTTATACACGACACTCTCAGGTACAAAGGAGTCACATGCCTCTGATTTCAGAACATGCTATAAAATGATTATAACCAAAACAGCATGGTATTATTATGATAGTGGTTAAAAGAACTAGGAATCCTAGAAACAAACCCACGTTTGTGGTGCCAGGAACACCCAACAAGGACAGCATCGCCTCTTCAATGAATGATGTGAAGAAAACAGTATCAGATGTTGGTGTCTGGGCCTGGACTTTGCTGGGCATGGTTTCCTGTCTTCTCTGTTAGCATTCTGAAGGCCTTACCTCACACCATATAGTGGCCCAAAATAGATGAAAGACTTGAAGACACAATGGGAAACTGCATGACCACTAGAGGAAGTGGCAGGAAATTCTACAACATGGTTTGAATGGGTTTTTTTCTGGAGTAAGATCCTGAAAACAGGAAAATCCCAGGGGGGGAAAAACAGACAAATACCAGGCTGGTATCAAATTAAAAACCCTCCTAGCATTTGTTTTTAGTGGTTTTCCTAGGGGCTCTAAGATGCCTAACTTTTCCTTGTAGGCAAAGTTAATAATGCACCCCTTGTCATGAACTAGAGGAATCTGCACATGCCCGGTCCCTTCCCACACCACGCTGCTGGGCCGGCGTGCACGAGACAACGCCAGCGAGACTGTCTGCAGTGGGAAGCTAAGGTGAAAATGTCAGAAAGCAAGACGCCTGAGGCCCCTGCTCAGCCCCCATTTCTGACGCGCCCTGAGTGGTATGGGGGTCTTGGTCTCCACGGATGACCCTTCTCTTACTGCCAGAGGAAGTTTGCCAGGATCCGGGCTGGCAAGGCGTTTGGGATTCTCTGTCTTACTGAAACGTCCTGATTCAATTCTTACTCATGAAGGATTGATTCTATTTTCGGGCTGTGTTTCCTGCTTTTCCTGTTCGCATTCTGAGTGTGGGTCCCACCCTCTCTGTCTGCTGCGTGCCTGGAGGAGCCGCGTGGTCCGAGCATGGCTCTTCCCGCAGGAGGGCTTCTCGCAGGCACCTCTCTGTCTTTCCCTTTGCCAGTCCACCTCTGGTTTTCGACTGTCTCGAATGTGATGCGCTTTAAATGGGGCGCCTTTGTGCTCCTTCTGTCTGATGCTCTCAGAGCAACTGTTGTCTACCGAGGGGTATTTTTCATTCCATTTCTAGCCATGATTTGTCGAGTACTTTTTTTCTGTCCCTCTACCATTCTCTCTCCCTGGCACCTCCATTGCCCACACGTTGGGTCATGGCGTGCCCCAGCTCTTATTTTTAAAAATTATTTCCCTTAACTGTCATCAAGGGTATTAGCTGTTATAAATATATTAGAAAAAATTAGGGAATCAATATCTAGGAGTATTGAAATGCATGAGAACCAGGTCTCACCCATATAGAGAATATCATCAATGAAGAGATGGAAATCATTTAGAGTAGAATGGAAAAATAGGAGGGCAAAAGCACATTAGAAATATAAAAAGCCAATAGCAAAATGGTAGACATACCGCTGTTGATAATCTCATTAGCTATAAATTGATGTTGGAAAACAAACATGTCATACAGTTATACACTGTCTACACGTAACACACTTCAAATAACAGTTACAAATGCAAATAGTAACTGAAATAGAGCTAGGCTGGCTAAAATAATATACCAGGTGAACTAACATTTAAGCCAAAAGTATTAGAGGTAAAGTGAGACATTTGACATGAAATTAGGGGTTCAGTGTGTCAAGATGTGCAATCACATATGCACTAAACAAGAGTGTCCCCAGACGTAGAGGGAGAAAACAACACCAATCTAAGTATGTTCATTAGAGATGTTGACTTGGCTTGCATTACTTAATAGAACGCTAAGGGATGGACAATGGATGGAAATGAAGGATATAAGCAACACCGCAAAACAAGTGGACAAATAAGTCTTTAGACCATTCCATACAAAACTGGAGAAATACACATTCTTTTCAAATGTACACAGAACATCCTCAAGGGTAGAGGATATTCTAGGCCATGTAACAGGCTCAGTAAACTCAAAAAGGACACTCTCAGGTCAAGTATGTTCCACTGCAATAACAATGGAAATCAATTACACAGGAACAAGGGAAACACAGACTGTTGAAAATTAAATGCCTTGTTGGTTGTGACAAAGGGGTCAAAGTGGAAATCACAAGTGAAATTAGGGAATATTTTGAAATGGGTGGAATAAAACATATAAGTTGTGGGGCTGGGAAGGTAGCTCAGCAGTAGAGTGCATGCCTTGCAAGCATGAGGCCCTGGGTTCGATTCCTCAGCACCACATAAACAGAAAAAGCCGAAAGTGGTGCTGTGGCTCCAGTGGTAGAGTGCTAGCCTTGAGCTGAAGAGCTGAGGGACAGCGCCCAGACCCAGAGTTCAGGCCCCATGACCGGCAAAAAAAAAAAACAAAACAAAAAAACATATTAAGTTGTAACTAAAGTAAACTGTGGGGGAAATTAATGGCCCAGATACTAATATTAATATTGAAGAAGAAAAACCTCAAATCATTAACTTTAAATTTCCAATAGCAAAATAAGAACAAACAAAACTTGAGGAGGAGAAGGAAGGGCATACTAAAGATGAAGATGAAAATGGATAAAGAACAAGAAAACAATGGGGGAAAACTCAATAAAATAAAAAAAGTTCTCAGAAAAGATCAAATTCTCAAACTTCTAGCTAAACCTATAGGAAAAAAGATGCAAATCAGTAAATTTAGAAATGAAGAATGTGGTATTCCTCCTTAGTATACAAGCATAAGAACGGCCTGCCAGGGAGGACATGAAAAGCTTTATGTCCACACATCCAATCATCTAAGTGAAACAGAAAAGTACGAGAAGTCTCAAACTATTGAGATTGACGCAAAAAGAAATAGGAAATCTGAGGTCCCTCTAACAAGTAAAACAACAGAATTAGTACATAAACCTCGCCCTCTAGGAAAGCCTGGGCCAGCTGGCTTCTCTTCCAAACTCTACCAAACAAACTGCCAACATAGCATTACCAAGTTACTCTTACTAAATGTAGTTGGTGTGAATTAAAGAATTTTCATGGACCTTCACCAAGGCATCCAAGACAAAGAGGAATATTCTCTGGTGCACCACAATAGCAGAATCTTGATGATTTCTGTGCTGGTCCTGGAACTTGAACTCAGGATCTGGGTGTTATACCTGAGTTTGTTATTTTTTTTCTTCTTGCTCAAGGATAGTGATCTACCACTTAAGCCACAGCTCCACTTCCAGTTTAAATTTTTTATTTTTTGAAATAAGAGTCTCACAGAGTTTCTGCCTCAGATGGCTTCGAACCGTGATCCTCAGATATGTCTCCTGCATAGCTAAGATTACAGGAGTGAGCTGCTAGTGTCTGGCTAAAGACAAACACATTAAAAAAACAAAAACAAAAACGCCCAGACCAAAATCTCTGAACAAGGCTGTAAAAACTACCTTAGTATGTTAATTATACACACAGGAAAGTATAATGCAAGGTTGGCCGGACATAGGCAAGCAATTCATGTAACACATTACCCTGACTGAAATGGCTGAGAAGTGCTCACTGCAAGAGGAGCTTATGTGGACTATGATACCAGCAGCCGGCCCTTCTGGATGGAGTCCGGTGTGGCGGTGGGCACCAGCCAAACTACTGGTTCATCTGTTGTGACAAAGGTATCATGTGAATGTAAGGCCGTAACAACAGAGCTGCTGAGTACAGGCATTCCAGCACTCACTGCACCTTACAACTGTAGAATACAATAAATAATACAATAAATTGATTCTAAACTAAAGCTTTCTTAAAAATAACGTCCAGAATCGATTCCGGCAAAGGACCTTCAGGGCCTGCTAGTGCCCACGCAGCTGCCCAGCCATAGGTCCATGTCAGAGTTGCCATCCCTCATGATGATACCGTGTTCAGCCTCTTGAAATATCACCACCCAGGACAGGGTGACAAGAACAGACCACACCAGCCAAGAGGACATCACCCAGCTCTCCAGTTACAACCCAGACTGCTCATTCTCAGTGAAAACTCCAAACATTCTCCCAATCTATAAACTCCATTTCAACGTCCACTGCAAGGCCCAGACATGTATGTACTGGGGGGGAGACTGAGGGCTCAGTGCTGGACTTGTGTGTGCTAGGTGATAGGAGACTGAGGGCTTGGTGCTGGACATGCATGTGCTAGGTGATAGAAGACTGAAGGCTTAGTGCTGGATATGCATGTGCTAGGTGATAGGAGATTGAAGGCTTAGTGCTGGACATGCGTGTGCTAGGTGATAGAAGACTGAAGGCTTAGTGCTGGACATGCATGTGCTAGGTGATCAGAGACTGAGGGCTTGGTGCTGGACATGCGTGTGCTAGGTGATAGGATACTGAGGGCTCAGTGCTAGACCTGCATGTGCTAGGTGGGGGGAGACTGAGGGCTTGGTGCTGGACATGTGTGTGCTAGGTGATAGGAGACTGATGGCTTAGTGCTGGACATGTGTGTACTAGGTGATCAGAGACTGAGGACTTAATGCTGGGCATGTGTGTG